GCACAAGAATATTTGATCATATTATGAACTTGAAACTTAATAATAGTTGAATATGTAAATTATCAAGTATTTATTAGTAAAACTGACACAAATGCTGCTGCTCGTCTTTTGACAAGTACTAGGAAATTTGAGCATATAACCCCGGTACTGGCTTTTCTCCACTGGCTGGGGTGACCGTGCTTTTACTGTTGCAGCCCCTAAATTATGGAATAGTCTACCTTTTAATGTTAGGTCAGCTACTGACCTCAGTACTTTTAAATCATTGCTTAAAACATATTTTTTTGGCTTGGCTTTTAATACACAGCAGGGCTTGATGCATTCCTTTTAATTCCTTTAAACTTAATTTTAATTTATTGAACGTATGTTATGTGTGTTTGTTATTGTGCTGTTTTATTTTTATTTGCACTGATTTTATTTATTTTATTTTAGTTATTTATTGTGATTTTATTTTGCCATGTAAAGTACTTTGGTCAGCTGGATGTTGTTTTAAAGTGCTATATAAATAAATTTGATTTGATTTGACATTTGTTCAATTTGTTTTTTGTGAACTGAACAATTTATAAATAAATGAATACATAAACCCCACAAATCATCCTATACATTCGTAAATCTTGTTTTTATTTATAGATCTTTTAAAGCTGCATTAACTAAGATTTAGCACAAATTTTGATAAATCAAGTTAAAAAATTGTCTAGAAGTGTTGCCTTCCTGCTGTACTAAACTACCCCACCCCGCCATGCTATCTTTAGGCATTGTGTTCTGTGGCCAGTGTTCAAATCCGCATAGCACTTCTTCCACGCCTTCACTAATCCAGGGTTATAAAATTGATTTTTCAAACCAGTATGATTGATTACAAACACAAACCATGGAGGCTCCCTGTGCAGGTAAAACCCAGGATGGGAGCGGACCTGTTAGACCCAAGAGGCCATGTTCTGTAGCACAGAAAGAGCGTAACAAAGAAGGAGGCAAAACCAGGGTTAACATCGGTTTGGCATGTTGGGGATGGAAAGCATTAAAAACTTTCAAAGGACTAAAATATAGACGGAACACTACTGTAGCTAGCTAAAATGTACAGTATATGTTCCCATGCTTAGCAGGCTACCGTTAGATTTTCAGTTTTGTACCTTTGTATTGAATTATTCAGGTTGTCACTTGAGTCATTCCAATTGACTGCAATGTTAGCGTTTTGTTGTCCAATTAGATTAGATCAGATCAGATTAAATTAGACTTTATTAAACTTTATTATCATTACCCATGTACAAGTACAAGGCAACAAAATGCAGTTTTGCATCTGACCAGAAGTGCAATAACAGCCGTGAAGAGTGAGCAGTATCTACAGTATGAACAGTCAGAACTAATTTACCGATGGATATGTACAACTGATATTTACAGTAAGATATGTAGGGTAATGTACGATGTACAACAGACTATGGATTCAAATTACTTAATAGACAAGGTATATTAAGCCTATAAAACACTAGTGCAATGGGATGAGATGGGATGAAACTGTGCAGAATAAGAAGATAAGTTACATGAGTTAACAGTTCAATGGATATAAATAATGCAAAGATAAAATATCTGGCAATTTAGCTAATTTTTGCTCGGTTTCGTTCCAGTTTATGTCAAACCCAGCACTGTTGTCCATGTAGCATTTTAGCGAGAAGTTCTTCAAATTTACACCATCAACACAACTAGAAAAGTGGGGAGTTTGTTCAACTATCAAGGCATAACATGAAATTTCTCATTTCACATATAACTCATGGTGTGCCAAGTATGTAACACTGAACATGACGCCATAGTGGCAGGAACATTTGTATTGTATCAATATTACTGGGAAAAACATTCCTCTGTATAATTTGCTTGTCTTACTGCAGATACATCCACTACAAACAACATCAGACATATGTATGCATATCACTAAAATGTAAACCTCTTTATTTGACATCGTGTCACTGCAATACCACCAAACACGATAGGCTCTTTGGGCTTTATATTTTGTATACATTAGTTATGGAGCCGGTTATTACTGCTGCGCTACCTAACTGCTACAACTGCCTCCAGCTGTCGTGGCCACATATGACCTATCAGAGACAGGGCAGGAGGCAAAGAGGCAAAGAGGAGGGCGATAATGCTTGAGCTTGTTTTGACTCTCACTTTTCCCTTAATGGCCCAAAATTAGAGGAGAAGTTAGGTAATGCTGCTTTAAGATGCATTTGTCACCATTTTTTGAGACTATTTTCTCTCCATAGAAAAGGGGAACTGATGCTTCCTTCAGTTGCAGTAAATTGCTACTGAACTGAAACTGCTTGCTGAATAAAAGCAAAATATGGCATACTGCAGTAAAACTGAGGAGGTAGTGCACAGTAAGTTGATAATACTTTTCTATTGCAGTATAGGCTGTCATATAAGACAGGCTGAGCCTGAAAACAGCAGCAGCAGCTGCAGACAGATGTGTCCCAGCAGAGGTGAGCAAAAGACGTGTGATCGCCTCACCATTATGTCACTGTATGTGTTTCTGGACAACTGTGTATGCATATGAGTGGCTGTATCATAGAAACACAAAGTGAATATGTTTATATTTATACTGTATGTATGTGAACTAGTGCATGTGGTCATATAGAGTATGTGTTTAAGACTGCATGTCTGTTACAAATGTTTATAAAAGCAGTATGTGTGAATTTGTGTGTACTTTGACAGCAGTAGTGATTAAAAATTGAGCTTGTTTGCTCAGTGTGCTGCATTCAAGTCATCTCAAGTACATCATGAGCATATTGTATAATGCTGCAGCACACAAAACAGAAAAAACATTTTTGACAAATGTTAGAATCATCTGATGTGGTATTAAATGTTTGTCCACTTCTAATATGTTCACAGTGTGCTTACAAATACCTCACACTGCATCATAATGGAAGTGTTACTCATTACTCTGTCACCCTTAATTCATGTAATGTGCAGCAGAGATAAATCTGCATCTGTATTGTGTCAGTGTGGTGCTGGTGGACTGGCTTCATGTCATAATGTCAACTTTTTTTATAGTATACAGTAAAGCATCTGGGCCTTGTCAATGAATTTATTAATGCCAAACAATAAACAAGAGCTTATAAAATATGAGAAGGCTCCTAGCTCTGCCCTATTGGCCACTAAAGATTCTCAGGGGAAAATTATCTTGAGTGTTTAATTTCTGTGTATAAATCACACATTTTTTAATGCCGCCCCCTCTGCTTACTTTTTTATAAAAACTGTAACTGCACAACCGTTAAAGTGACGTAAATGGCGACATGGTGGAGCAATTTCAAAACATCATCTTCCTACACATTTTGGAATAAAACTGTTAAGGCCTTCATTTTGTGTCTGTATCCACTGACCTGGGTGATTTTAATGGTGAGTGTAGCACTAATCAACAATCTATATTTGTCTTTCAAGTCAATGCATCCACTGTAATTTTTCAAAGCTGCCTATGAGCCCTGTCACTCCCTCAGCTGTTCTGTTACTGTTTACCATCAACCATGTAGTGCAGTAAATGACAAATGGAGTGAGAACTACCTCTACATGTAAGATAAGTGCTGCTCAGCAATCACTTGATAGACAGCGGAAAACACTACAATTCTTCTCTGGTACCAGCAGTAAAAGATTAACAAAGAGAAGAGGTGTAAGTCACAGTAAAACAAAATCAATGCAAAAAAGTGATAGGAAAGTAATTAGGGTGTGATCTGTAACAGATGCAGAGGCACGACACTAGCACAAAACCCTGAACGCACCCCACACCCCTGTTAGCTCTTACTTTTATGTGTGGTAATGTTTTGCGCCACTTACTTACATCTACAAAGAAAAGCTGGTGCATAATCAGCAAATGCCATTGCTTTATTTTAGCAGGAGAAATGAGCGGGACAGAGCCAGGAATAAGACCTGCTGGGTCAGTCTGCAGTGCAATGCAGAGAAGAGCATCATGCTGACTCTAAACCTGAGTCATAGCCCTTTGTCTTCTAGCCTACTGGGACATTGTCCCAGGCAAAAAGAAAAAAAAAAACATGTAGCTTTAATTACGCATGAACCAATGGGTACAGCCTGCAAAGATATATTGTCAAATGAGTAATTTCATGGCCTTGTAACAACCAGTAGATCTGTCTGTGAGCCAGGCCGTAAGCTATTGCATAACACTGTCTCTTTATCATCATTTGCCAACAGAGGATGACCTTGAGAGGCAGGCAGAGCCCCAACCCATGGAGGCACCATCAGATAGGGCCAATTCAGTTTAAGGGTTTGATTCAGGCAAATCTAGTTGACTTCTGCATGCTGTTCTTATTGTGTGTGTGTGTGTGTGTGTGTGTGTGTGTGTGTGTGTGTGTGTGTGTGTGCAGGAGGGGTGGGGGAGCAATAAGTGCAGGCGGCTGGTAGATGAGAGGTGGTCATGCCTGCACTGATTTGCAAAAAGTAGCTTTCCAGTGAGGACAGTGTGGGTTAAAGAAACACACCACACCCCCAGTCTTCCTCCTGCAAACCCAGACAACACACACACACAAACGCACACAACCTTTCATCAGTGCCAAATTACACCAGGACACATCACACTATTCTGTATGTTGTACCAAGCCATCCCACGCAAAGTCGCAATTATAACTGACATAGATCAAACAGCTGATCAGACATTGATCAGGAAGACTGCATTAAACACTGATATTTCGAAATCATGGTGTGTGTGTGTGTGTGTAGGCAATGAGAGTAAACCCAAGCAAAATAACCATGTTCATCTCATGTTGATTAAGTCCCGGTTTTGCGTGCAAAACACGTAAAATGCATCAGGATTTAACAGCTGTAGAGATTATATTAGATATGTGTCTTTATTGTCATTTCTCTGTCATTAATATGAACTTAAAACGCCAATAAATCCATAAATTTGTCTGATCTGAAAGGATGACGCACCAGGTTGCATAACGCTAATATACATCAAAACCTGGGAGGTCTGTGAGTAAACATTAGCTCACACAGAGAATCCATCCTACCTTGCGAGAGTGCGGGGTCAACGGGAGAAGTCCGGTCTGATGTCTGAAGTGGTCAAAAAACCTGGAAGCACGGAAAAAAGAAGCGATTCAAACGTCTGGAAATGTGCTCCGTTGAGCCAGTAGTAGCTTAAGATTTCTTTTCTGCGTATTCTTTTATTCTGTTGTGTTTTTATTTTATTTTATGCTGGAGAAAAGTGTGCCTCGACAGAGAGTATGCGGTGCAGGTCCGTAGGATGATGCTGCTAAGCACACACTGCTGCTGATGTAGTGAGAGGAGGAAGACGGACACGGGGGGAGAGAGAGAGAGGCAGCACTGCATCTGTGTCTCTCGCTCCTAGTGGGCACCCTGGGATGAGAATAAAGAAAATAACAAAGAGCAAGTTTAACACGAGCCACATTAAAGTTAAGCTTGGTCTTAACTAATCCTGTCGTGCCTTCGCCTAATACAGATACAGTGTTTAGGAGAACCATTAACGTAGTTGGCAATAACAGGGACATTTCTCACTTTAGGTCCTGTCGCAGCTGCGCTACGTTCGCGCTGCATACTTAATGACAGCTAACCTGACTAAGTAGCTTACTTTAGAAGGTGAGTAACCAATGAGTAATAGCTCTTTGAAGAACTAGATGACATCGTTAGCCTTAAGTGTCAGCTAACAAATAGCTTAAGTACGTTTTAATGAAGGGTTTGTTTCCATTTTCCAATTATAGAATACATCAAGCTAGCATAATGTTAGCTGACTTTGTTAATGCCACTGATTGTCAGGTGCATAATGAAACGTGGTCATTATGTTTAACATAATATAAATACCATATGCTGTATAGACCATGTCAGCTTTGCTTTAAAGGGTAGTTCAAAGAAAAGCAAACAAGAAATTCAGGCACTTTTGACCAAGCACGTCCTTTGTGTGAAGACGTGTACTTTTCTCTGGTTAGCCCCCTGGTCACCGCTGTCAAATATGGTAGCTAGCTTCAGTAGCTAGCTGAATGCCAGAAGAATTTTGTTTTCCTTGGTCACAATAAGGTAGCATGAATAAATCCACATACAAATTAAAATTCAAATAAGAGTTTCTTCCACAAATAGATCGCCATTTAACTGTTATGTGATGTTGCACACAATAATATAGTTAACTTGTTTGGTTATAGAAATATTAAATCCAATCAGCTACAAACCATAGATGACAGTAGGAACCCAATGCTTTTATTTGGCATATTATTTTTGTCATGTTATATTGTAGAATGTTTGATATTTCAAATACAGACCTGCAAATCTGGTGCTGTAAATAAAAATACTGTTTGTGCTTGAACATTTAGTAAGTTGAGGGGTAAATGAAGGTAAAGCATATAGGCTTTTCCACAGAAGACATTTTGACATGCTAGAAAAACACAGGTGTAAATTATACAGTTCATGATGGATAAAATTCTTTCGTTTCCAGCTCACTGAAACACTGGTATAGTTTCCTGGGACGCTTGAACGGACCCATCTTTAATGTAATTATTAACACCTGTGCTTTTTCTGCTATGAAAGGTCAAAATGTGTGATGTGAAAAGGGCCTGTTGTGTTTATTGTTACAAACCCATGCCTGGCAGTTCCTAATTGAGGAGATAAATTAGGCAACAGAACAGCGACAGTACCATAATGCCATTTCTGTATTCTGTGCAGTGAATCCACATCATGCTGTGTAACAATCTGTTCTGATGTAGGGAATCCACTCACTGAATATTGCTGTGTCCTTTGCTTCAGAGGTACATGCTCCATGTGTTTTGAGCTGCAGGTTTGGAATAAGGTGAGTTGCTGTAGCTTTTATACAACAGAGCACACTGCTATTATGGATACTGCAATACAGATGGAAATTTGTACTATAGTACAGACTGAGGTTTATAAGACCATCATCTACTTGCCTGTTTTGAATCACTAGATTGAATCCAGTCTCAAAAGGCTATGAGTAGCTTTAATACAAATGTTTTCTCTAGCAGAAGTAAAGTAGCATTAGAAATATTTTTGACATGATTGTTTTTCATAGAGTAACACTTATTGATTTGAGCAGTGCAGCTTTCAGATGTAGTGTTCACACTCAGGGTATTTTTATTTTTGGTTTAGTAGATAGAAGAAAATGGACGAAATCACACAAGAAGATATTGGGCCACAAACAGAGAGAGAGCTTACGTCACCATCCTCCTCAAAACCAAAGACAGTTTGTACAGTGACAAACAACCACAGTGAGAAAAGCAGGTTTGACTTTCCAGAGCTTTTGACATTTCAGAAAACCAGTAGCTTGCCACCATCAAAGAGCACCCCTCAGAACCATATGGTCAAAATATACACAACAGAAAATTGGGATATTCAAGATGAAAAACCTTGTGAGCAACTGCAAGACACTAAATTAATTGCCATGCCTACTGTTAAGGTGACTACTTCACACACTGATTATACACATGCAAGATTGTCTGAAGTCTGTTATACTGCTGAGAGACACTTCCTACATGTAGAGAAAGATGAGCAGTATCCGTTCACTAAAAGTGACAAGCTCAGCTTATACCGCCTTGATGATGCAGGTGGGGCATTAGCAGACTCTCACATGTCAACAGATACTAGCACTGACATGTCCTGTAATCCTGATTGCAAACGGCTAGGGAAATCACTTGTAGACGAGGACCCTGGTGATTACTGCCTTCACGCTGGAAATGACCAAGATGGGAGACAGGTGCAGCACTATATCAGTCAAATCCAAGCATTCACCATTAGTTCATGTGATGAGGAGGTCACATGTCAGTCTGATCACACTTATGTAAATGCACCAGTTGATGCAGATTTCTGCAAAGTGTGGATCCAGTTTGCTGAATTTGAAGCAAGTAATCAGAAGAGGGAAGAGCACAACTGTGATAAGAATAACCTTTTCAGAAAGGAAGAGAAGGAGTGGAACAGTCCTACATCTTCCAGTGCTTATGTAGACTTGAAACCATTCTACACAAACCCTGAAGAGAACAGTTCTGGGAGCTTGACAGAAGACGGAAAAAATGAGGAAACAATATTAGAATTGCAGCATTTTGCAAATGAAAACGCTGCCATAAGTGATGCGGAAACAAAAGGGCAAGTTAATGAGAATGGCATGAGCAGAAACTTTGTCCCCTTTGTTGCTGAATGTGTTGAGGGATCATTTGTTAGTTATGATGTGGTCTTAGCAAGAAATATTTCAGTTGAGAATGGGAGCCTTGAAACTGATGACTTCTGTGAGGCATTGGGAGAGCATGCTGCTGGCAAAATGATAGCCAAAGCTTGGATTGAAATGGCTGATCACACAACAGAGACTCCAATGTCTGCAAGAATCGGTGAAGCACCTGCTGAAGGAGATAATGATGCATTGCCTTTCAATGTTATTGACCCTGCAATGTGGAGTGAAACTGAAAGGGAGGCTGAAGAGAAAAGCTGTAACCCAGAGAGTACTGCAGGTGTAGAATTATCTCCATCAGTGCAAGTCTGTGAGATGGAAATGTCTCTTCCACTTTGTTCTGCTGTCAGGCCATCACAGGAGGTTTCAGCTCCCAGTTCAACCAGGCAGTTTAATCACCAAAGCAGAATGCAGCAGGGGAAAGAAGAAAAAGAGGACTTATGTCAGCCATACACAGAACCACAGACTTGTTCCATCACCACCAATGAAACACATGACATGATTGGCAGTAAAGGTGGCAGTCACTGGAAATCCTCTCCCAGTAGGAGACTATGCAGGCTCGAAAAGCCTCCTCCTGCTGGGTACAGAAGACAAGAAAGTTATAGTATTATGGGACATCAGTTGAATGAGCAGGATCAATCTAGCTATTTTCCTGTTAGCCTTGACAACCAAAAAACACAGGAAGCTGAACATTCACAGACAGAAACCACCAGAATGGACAGGACTACTGAGATCAAACAAACAGAAGAAATTACAAATTATGAAGAAGAAATAAGAACTGAGGAGCACGGGAGCTTAGAGAAAACAGAGGAGTCAGTGGAAGAACTTCTGAAACTAAATGAGGTAAGCAAAGAAGACACAAATGAAACAGCACGTAGTTGGACAGAGGGAAAAATTAGTGAATGTGGCAACAGGATAATTATCAAAGATCAACTAGAAAAGAAGCTTGAGTATTTTTCTGACCATGTATACATGGCTAATATTTCCATGATGGTTGAGACAACTGAAGAAGAGGAAAGAAACAAAGTGACAAATGTGGGAGAAGAAGAAATGAAGCCTGATCGGCATGAAAACTCAGAGATATTGAAATTAGAGGATGATCTGCAGCAACACACTAAACACAAAACGGACACAATGCTAGAATCTCATGTTGAATGTATCAGTGAATGGACAGACGGTAACTTGAGTGGCAACAAATTACCCCAAGTTAGTCACCAACACAGAGCAGAGACATTTATGGCTGAAAGTCCAGATAACATTTTGGCCTTCACTTTTCCTCTAACAAGTGATGCAGTTGTGCCATATCAACATGATTTAAGCCATTCACAAAATGCTAACGACAACCCCACAGGCTTAAACCGTAGTGACAGATTTTCTCCAGTGCCATCTGCTTTCACTCTCTACGACCGAGCGCTGGGTGGCTTTGATACTTTCGAAAAGATCCAGCTCTCACTAGATGACGATGACGATGATACTGCTGGCCCAGGCAACATCCCTTTGCTCACCAGCTTGCCAGGGCAGCTGTTGAAAACACCCCAGCAACAACTTTCCCACTCCATGCTAGGGGCTGAGAGTGACAGGCATGAGGAGACACCGGAAGAGGAGAAGGAGGGTGAGGAGGAGATGGAAAGATTTAAGTGTCACACTGACAACATGGATAATGGGGATTTAGACAGGGAGACAAGTTGCAGTGAACTCCCAAACTTCATCTCAGCAGCAGATGTTATTGCTCTCGGATGGCCAGAGCCACAGACTGACTGTGAATCAGCCTGTGATTTCTGTGAGAACATCCTGAATGACATGAATACGCAGTCAAAATCCACCACTGTTTCCACTAAGAGTGACAGCGCAGTCTCCAGTGTGAATGACTACCCTGAGTTTGAAATGCAAAAACAATTCAACATGGTCTTAAAAGAGCTGAACTTGTATTTTGATATCAGTACAAGTGACTGTGCAAGCGACAAAGCATCATCACCTGAGCAGAGTAGTGATATAACTGAACCCTTGGAGGCAGACTCTTCAAACTGCAAAGAACATCTCAGCAGCCCACACCTGGGATGCCACAGAGACACAACAACAGGTAACTACAGCTAATGTGCTTCATCTTTACTGTTCAGTATATAGGGAACTGACAATTCATATTCATTGGCTGTCCATGTTTTTCATGTACAAATGTCATTGTAAGCATTTATTATTCACTATTTAATTATTATGCACAGTACTTACAGTGTCATGATAAAACATGGTTGTACACTGTGAAGATATCAACAAAGCCAGTATTTCCCAAAGGGCATTATTTTCTTGGTGCTGCTGACAGTTGTGTCACCATCCTAACACAACCACTATAAATAGTATCCTCTGGGATACAGATGGAATTTGGCTTTTAACCACATCTGATGCAATAAATGAACTGTGCATTGCCCCTGTTAAATAAACAAGAAAATAAAACAAAGGGATATGATTGCTTTTTGAAGAGTTACCATTCAACACTAGACAAATGTACTGTCACAGCAGCACAAAGATTGTCTGTTTAAGTTATTACTTACAATATATAATTATATAGAAGTGATTCAAATATAATTTAACAATAAAAGCTATCTTAGTGTGCATATAGAAAATCCACTTTGATAGTGAAAATGAAACAGTTCTATGAGCAAATCTTGAAGGAAGACTTTTGGTGAAATATTCTTAAATTCTTATTCATGCTTTCTTGAGACCAGCCTCTGCTGCAGTGTCTTCAGGAAGTCACTGAGCCTGGCCTAGTATTCCAGAAAATAACCTCACATAACCTGTTTTTATGCTTCGTTTTTTCCTAGGGATTACAGAAACTGTAGGCTGATATTTTTCCACTTTGGACAGACCCTCTGCTTTCAGTCTTAATGCTATGATAAGGCAGTTTCTCATCTAACTCTCAGCATGGATATGTGTATTTCCAAAATGTCAAACTATTCGTTTAGCTATCTGAACCATCTAAATAACTTTATCCTTACACCATTCTGTTATGTCAAACAGTGCAGTCAATTTAGTATTTTTCCTCAAATTTCCACATATTGAAAAACAGTTTAGGCACTGTCCTACATAGTTTACAGTAGTCTTTAAAAATTGAACCACTTCCTCTTTATATTTCAATGAAATTAAGTGAAAAGACTAACTTACACATCTAGGTTCAGTACACAAAAATGTGCAAAAGTTGTTGGAAATTAAAATGTCAGGTTTGTTATTAACTATCATTATTGACACCATGATAATATTCAAACAATGATGCCAAAAAAATATTTTGTTACTTGTCAATAGATGATGCTGATGAAGAGTGCAGGCTGGAAATGTGTGAAGGTGTTCCAATGGATTGTTGTACTGCAGCTGGTAGCTGTGATGGCGAGCAGGAGGTGCCCCTTGGCAGCCACATGTGCCCAGAAACATCTGTGAAGGCAGCAGAGAAACACAGAGGTTCAGAGTTCACATCTTTTTAATTCAGTATTTTTGGCCAAATGACAAAAAAAAAAAACTTAACATTAATATATTCACAACCAAAACTGTTCTTTTGTTCTGTTGTTTTCAGTCTTGTATGGTTAGGACAGTTTTTCCAGGATGTTGGGCAGATTTACTTTAAAGGGTCACTCAGGTTAATTCACTGAGGAAATGTAATTACTTTTTTATTGGTTTATCTGTTGGGCAGTTTCGTGAGCAGCGGTTAGCACTGTTGCTTCACAGCAAGAATTCTCCGGATTCGAGCCCCGGCCAACCCAGGGCCTTTCTGTTTGGAGTTTGCATGTTCTCCCTGTGCCTGTTTGGGATCTCTCTGGGTACTCCGGCTTCCTCTCACAGTCCAAAGACATGCAGCTTTGGTAGATTGGAGACTCTAAATTACCTGTAGGAGGGAGTGTGTGGTTATTTGTCTGCATGTCAGCCCTGTGATAGACTGGCGACCTGTCCAGGGTGGACTCCGCCTCTCGACCAATGTCAGCTGGTATAGGCTCCAGCACCCCTGTGACCCTGTTCAGGATAAATAATTGATGGATTTGTTTTTTTAAATTGACACAGCTACCTTTCATGTTCAGATATTCATTTCCATTGCTCAATAAGCTGCAGTGGAACGATAACACCACCATGAGTGTAAGTGTGAAGAGCAATAAACAAGATAGAATTAGTCAGTCCTTCCTGGCTGTCAACTTTTTTTTTTTCAGAGCCCCAGGAGATGGAGCAGAGAAGGAAACTGTGGTCTCCATCCTTCATGTGTCTGCCATTTGTAGAACAACAGACACACGGTGAGGGTCATGTTGTTATGGCGGACAAAATATTGAAAACCCTGAGCACTGTAATGACAAAATGATGGGTTAATGTGTAATAATACATATTAATATCTGGAACTTAACACCTATAGTACTATTCTTAGACTAACTGAAATTCATTTTGTTTTTATTTTCTATTATATAGTGACATTAAACCCATCTAGAAGTAAAATATCAAAAAGACAACAATATAAGCATAAAAATGTAGTGTAGCACTTAAGCCTGCTTCATCTAGTCTCTCTCTTTCCATCCCCCCTACTTCTGCTGGTCTCCACTGCATTATAAACCCAAGTGTGCTTGCTGGGAGTAAAGTGTGCTGACCTCTGAATATGTAAGAGGAGTGTCGGTCTAACAGGCTGCCTAGGTTCACCTTGTCACAAAATCAGTCTAATAGCCAGTCGATTTGCTCCTTACATTCTGAAACATTATGATAATCTTGCCACCTTGTTTGTAGTTTTTCACTGTGATGAACCATTAACGGAAAAGAAAGGCCTGATTGCTGAGTACAAGTCACTTATGGTGCTGCTGTGAGTTACAGTATGGAAGCATCAGTGCTGGCAGCCATGAGGGACTGATTCATACTGTGTTGTTACATTTCCCTTGATGTTGTGTTTCATGTGCAGTACTGCCAGAGCAGCCCAAGAGACTGGAGCCACTGAGAACATGCACACGCCCGATCCGGGTTGGACTTTCAAAGAGAGCCAAGACCAAGCACCTACACTGTCCGCACCCCTACAAATGAGCATGGGAAAAGGAATTGAGTTGATACTGTATGTGCAAGAATGTTAACGCACCTCTTAATGGCTTAGTCGTTTTCAACAGCTTAGATATTGTTTACTGATTTACAGTAAATGTTCATGGTTTTCATGTGCCTCCATTCAGTTTTCATGAGTTGCACTTGTTCCTGTACAGTTCTGCTACAGCTTTATCTTAGGGAAGTTTGACTCCAGGCAATATCCTGTTTCACATTTACATACACCCACTCAGGTTCACATTTAATCCCACTGTGTGCTGCTGTTTTCCCACTGCGATTAGAAAGTAAGTGCCTTGCCCAAGGACACCTTGTCAGTATTGGTGTTTATGAACAGCAACCTGCTTCCTCCATAGTTCTCCAGCTGCTTTTAAACATTTCTCACATTTACTTATTTATTTATTTATTGATATATTTATTAGTTTGCTTTCCTCCCTGACACATTCTTGTTTATTTTTGGTTATATGGTATTTATATATTTATATCAACTAGTATTTACATATTTCGCACTGTACATTCACTTTTGATTCAGCTGTGTTACAGTTGATTCCTATGTGTTACTGTAGTTGTATTGATACAAATAAGCCTCATGTTTCTCCTATGTGTAGGTGTATTAGGCCAGGGTCAATGAGCTGCATATTTACTGTTGTTGTGGTGTTCTGATTTTACCATTAAATAAGGTTCAAACAAAACACAAAGGTGGTTGCTATAAACCTGATAATGTCATTGAAATGCAGTATACCTCTCTCAGATTTGCGTTAGTCTTCAGTTGCCAATAACCTGCTTGCTAAAGCTGCACCCTGTACCACTTTGTTACCTAAAACATAACATGGTTTGAAGATATCTCTCTTAAGGAGCAAAATGAAAAAGTAGAAATTACCAGATGTTTGATTTTTTTAAAAGAGTAATTAAGATGTTTCTCATAGGCTGCACTTGTTCCTTTTTTTTCTAAGCGGCAGTCCCCTCAGTATAGGCAGTTGGACCAGTTTTGTATCTGTGATGTTTTTTCATGTCCTGATCACATCTCTGAATCAAAAAGGTAGGAGTTTTTAGTAAATATAATAGTTTTTTAGGGGAGTGTTTTCTTTCCATGAGCAAGGTGTCTCAGCTGGCAGGCAGGCAAGTGCAAATCAAAAAGGAACACCACCATGGTATGACTTTCCAAAAATAATTAGATTCAGACACTACACATTCAGTCTGCCTTGTTAATCAGGCACAGTGTGAAGGCTTATGGCACTGAATTAGAATATTTAGTTTGTTTTTTTCTGGTTGATAATGACTTTGTCATTTTGACACTATTTGTGCCTGAGCAGTATTTGCCCACTCTGTTTGTTGGTTGTTGCATGAATTAATCTTCACATGGATATACTGTAGATATTTTTCACCTCTAGCTAACCTATTGTATTTACTCACTGGTAATGGCTGGCAATGAGATTGGTAATGATGTATGCATTCCTCCAAACGGCCACCTTACTAATATATTATTCATCAATTTCTACTATTCTAACAACTTAATGTTCCATTCAGTGTCTTGAATGAGATAAGATTTCCATCTGCAGTTGCTGGAACAGCATTTCATCTATTGTTATTTCTTATTGATTACACACAAGCTACTTTTAGTAGCACTTCACTTGAGGTCACATTTCAAAATTAAAGCATGATGAGGCATTACCACATGCATTGTAATGAGGGTGGAGAATTAATTTCAGGCAGCTTTACAGTTAATGAATTTGAGTATTATTATTATTAGGATGTTCAAAAAATGTATTTGGCATAGTCTACATGCAGTACTGTAGGAAAGTGGAAAGTTACATTTTGTGTGTGGAAATACATTAATTGCTGCAGTTAGCAGTTGGAAAAAATTATAGAATCACAATAAGCATGATTTTTTATTAGATTACCTGTCTGATGGATTTTAGAAAGTCATTTTATTATTCTCAGTTTTTATATGGCCATAAAATGCTGCTTTCCACTGTCTAATGAGCATTGCTTCAAATGTTTTTACTTAGTACTTTTAGTAGAGCTGTGGCAGACTGTGGATTCTCACTGTTCTCATTATATTTTGTACCCCTTTACTTCAGTCTTTCCAAGACAAACCTCTGAGTAGTTTACACCAGAGCTGGACGTACTGTACTTTATTCTGGAAATTTTGAAACAGTGTTTATACAGTCAGCTAAACAGCACACTGAAGTCAGTTGTTAATTGAGTAATGCAAGACAAAAGTACAAATAAAAGCAGATAAAGTGCAAAATTTGATGGAATTAAGTAACATCAAATGCACAGTCATTAGCTTTGTTTGAAAAGTGGCTCCAGTTGGGGCATATCTCAGTTCTGTAAAATCCAGAATAGAATTTAAAATCCTCCTACTAACATACAAAGCCCTTAATGACAAGCCTCCATCATATCTTAAAGACCTCGTAGAGCCTTATCATCCCAACAGAGCACTTCACTCTCAGAGTGCAGGTTTACTTGTGGTTCCTAGAGTCCACAGAAGTAGAATGGGAGGCAGAGCCTTTAGCTATCAAGCTCCTCTCCTATGGAACCAGCTCCCAGTCTCAGTTCGGGAGGCAAAGCCTTTCCTTTTTGATAAAGCTTATAGTTAGGGCTGGATCAAGTGACCCTGAGCCTTCCCTTATGCTGTTATAGGCCTAGAATGCTTTTTCTCTCTCCTCTATCCTCTCATCCCAACGAGTCGAGGCAGAAGGCCGCCCACCAAGACCCGGGGTCTGTTGGAGGTTTCTTCCGTTAAAAGGAGTTTTTACTCCCCACTGTTGCCAACAAGTGCTGCTCAAGGGGGATTTGTTGGGTTTTTCCTCTATAATAATAATAATAATAAGTGCCCTGAGATGTCTTTTGTTGTGATTTGGCGCTATACAAATATAAGTGAACTGAATTAAATTGTAAGCCTGTTTCATTCAACAGAGTGTGATATTATGGCTCTTGAATGTGACATTAGAAACAGTGAGGAGCCTTGAAAGCCTCCAATGAGGCCACAAATCTTTTTTCTCATGTACATAGGTTCTTACTATATGACTCCACCCTCACTAAAGTTTCACTGCATAATTCACTTACCACAAATTATGAGCTCCTAGCATAACCCAGGGATCCAAGATACCACAGATGAAACCTGGCAGTGATTAGCATTCCAGTTTTTAATTTCCTGCCCACCACCAAAATTAAAGGGATTAGGCATACACGCATTTGTTTATTTTCATTACCGAATAGAAGACAGGAATTATCCCAGTGTGAGAGTGCAAGTAACGTTATTATGCTCAGGGAGAAACCTTGAATATGCAGAATACACACACTTCCTCCTCCCTTTATGCCCCTTGAATCAGTTGCATGGCTTCACTGTGTAGGAAGAATCACTGAGGCCTATACTTAGAAAGCTTACTGCTGGAAAGCTAGAGGATAATTAATGGGCATCAGCTGATATGTCGTCATTATTTCAACTGCTAGTAAGAGCAGTTATTATAGGACTAAATTTCTGATCCTTCTTTGGCCCAGGGTATTTACAGATAGAGAATAAAAAGAGTTAGTGAACAAAGTGGAGATTAACGAGCAAAAAAATATCTCACATCTAACATGAAAATAACGCCTTCGTTCTCTTGTGCAAGGAAAATACTACAGCTTGATCTTTTTTCCATTGTCATATGGAGTACACACTGAGGCAGGTATGTGTCTATATCAAAGGGTTGTACATACTGTTGACAGTATTTCAGTACAGTAGCTGAATTACCTCAAAGGTGGAGCTGTGTATCACAGTGTCTGCAGCAGACAGCAGCATCTTTCTGAACCAAATAAGCGGGGCTTAAGCTAGTTAAGCTAGTGAGGTTACTTTTCACACACACATTATAGCACTGCATATACACTTCCACACTCACATAAACTAAGCCTGCATTAATTTGCTGCCCTTTTCAGATCAATAGCAATCAATGGGCCACAGTAGCTGAACCAAATGGTCAACTACACCTTCGCCTCTGCACGCTACTGAGTTCACTGCTGGAATATAATGCTACCAAAGTGACCAGAACAAACATTACATTTAATGGATACTTTTATCATAAGTGTATGTTATACTTTAGCTTTATTCTAATGGGATAGCTGTGAAAAGCACATCTAGCAGAGAGCCTTAGTGGACATAAACAAAAATAGTGTTACGTGGGGGTGGAGTTTCATGGTTTAAAGTTATTAAATTACACTTGATTTATCTCACCCAAGCCAAAAATGTGGAATCTTTCTGAACATTTGAATATATCCCACTGCTGTTTCACTAAAGTGAAAATTGGCATTGACCTGACAGGAGACCTGTCTGAGTGCAGCAAATAGCAGAGCTGGTTGAATAAACAGGACCCTTGCTGACTCATGACAATACCTAGATCAACTAGAAGTGGTGGGGGGAGGTGGGGTGAGGTGGTGAGCAGGACAGCTACCCTGAGGTTTTGTTAAAGGTCTGCACACAGAAGGGTCGATAAAGTCAAACATGCCAAGACAGACAGATCTGTGCACACTTTCTGTCTTTGCATTCAGTTTTTCCCTTCACACTATATTGTGTCTAAATATTTAAGGCATTAGTGTAAAAGTTTCAGTGCCCCCAAAATAAATTTTGCATCTGTTGAGCTCTCCTAAACGAATGACGTCCCTTCTTCTAAGACATACTGTATAATCACATTTAGTGTTTTGATGACGGTGGTGAGAGCATGCCAAAAGTCTAGTTCTGTAATCTCCCATAAGGGTTCCGTTGATCTGGGGCTCCATTTATGTTATATAGGATGGATGGTAAAGTTGGTAAAGATTCCCATGTTAATCACTGTGAATGACAGTGTTTGACCTACAGACTTTGTTTTTCCAGGCACTTCTGCTTTATTAAGCACCAAGTTGTAGGTTTTTCAGATTTTGACCCAAATGGAAACCAGACAAGCAGAGGTCTTTGTATAAAAGTTATTTATTAGACCTGACACTCAAAATGGCTAACAACAGGTATCAGATATGATACTTGTTGCAGCAATGCTTTGTCAGTCAGAAGGTCATGACTATTGTTAAGTTCTACATCTGTACAGCTAAAATTACAGCTATGAAGTTATGCAGTAAACTATACCTTAGAGGTGGTTTTGGATGGATGAAGGTAAATTATCACTTATTTTTCACAGTTAGTGTGTTTTGGCTTTGTAGGTTAGAACAGAACAGCTTGTCTCGTGTGCTAAATCATCATTAGGGTCCATAACATCAAGTGCTGTTGTGGGCATCAGTAAAATCTGCTGCAGAGTGATGAGGCGTATGGTTATTTTGCCGAGGCAAAATCCAGATGAGTGTGTGGAGTCTGACTCAGGGCCAGGGCCTATCAGCTAAAAGAACGTAGGTGGAGCCATTTAGTAATGGCCTGAACTAACACGTGCCAAAATCTCTCATAATTCCATTATGGCACTTCATTATGTACAGGCAGCAGCACCATTTTAATCCACCCACACTCTGAACTCTGGCCTTTTGTATTTCAGCTGTCTCCAGAGTTCAGGTTTGCAGTTAAATGCTGTACACCGCTATTCAGATATATGAAATGTAAAAAATATAAGGATTCAGGAAGGAATCTATGCTTTCTATTGGCCTATAAGGGCTGCAAACTCAATATATATGCTATTACATGTTCACACTGGGCTGATTAAAAGAATATATTCAAAGTGTGTGCTAGTCCTGAATCACAGTCACTGAGCTGACCTGAAAATGAGGG